TGGAAGCAATTTCCTCCCAAACTTCCCATTTTTGAAACTCTAGAAATGCAACCGCTAATATATGTGAGACTTGAGTCTATATCATTGGTTTAAAAAAATCGCTGTTCAAATGTTCAGCTCGATTCAGTTCAGAATAAAAGTAATCCAGTACGGAGAAGAAGGTTTTCCTAAGGGTCAATTCAGAGGTTTATTAAAGTAGCTGGAAGCGACCACATGACAGTGCAGATGGAAATATTACAATATTATTCTAATTTTTAATACACTGGTATATTTTTCTCATAGATTTCATATTCACTCTCTGTTTGGTCATTTACCCATTCCAAACTCACTGTTTTAGAGGGATTTTGGATGTAGCAGTTATGGAGGAGGATCAAGCGAAAACTTGACCAGGTTTATTTCGGAGTTGGGCGATGCAGAGCAGGTATAATTTGATTACCTCATTCATGCAATTGTGGATTGGTCTAAGAGACGAATTCATGTACCACACATAAAGACTTAAATAGCTGTTTCAAATTTTGCTTGCTCTTTTTACTAACAAAAAATCAAGAATCAAAGGTCTAGCTTTCCCTTGTTTCCATAAGCAGCACAAATTAAGGGCGCATCCACCAGCAAGTCTTCAGCGGCGAGTGTATGGTCGGTAGTTGATATCGATGTCGTGGATTTTACCAAACGTCCTGATCCTCCTTTTACGTATGTGTTCCACGCGAAAGACGAGGCAAGCAGTTGAACTAGGCTATGCGTCACTTAAACTGGAATTAAACCTTAATTATTTAGACGTCACAGTATTCTTACGCTTTTCCAATGATAGGAAATCAGCCGGAAGTCGTTGCAGATGCACTACTGAACTTGTTCTATCTGTTCGGACCTTCAAACTCAGTAAAATTGGAGCCATCGTATCGGGGTAGAATGAATAGAATCTCGCATCACTTTAGGACATAAACAGATAGAGCGTTTAGGAACAGCTTTGGAAAGTATGATCTCTGAAAGATTCCCATGTACAAGAGTTGTCTACTATGCTGAAAACCGGAACAAACAAGGCGCCCTCGTTC